GGGGGTAATGTTTCCATCATCGACTCATATACTATGCCTTTGGCATGTAGACAGGAATGTGAGAGCACGGTGTCTAACGGAGGTGAGGAGGACGTCTCATTGTGGGATAGATGCAGCCCAACCGACAGTGGATCTGATCATGGCGTCTTGGAAAAAGATTGTATATGCCGGCAGTGAGGAAGGCATGAATAGAGCTTTAGACAGTTTCAGGCGTAGTTGGGGAGTACAGTATCCACGTCTTTGGGGGTACTTGTCACATGAGTGGTTACCAAACAAGCATATGTGGGCAACATGTTATACAAACCAAGTGCGACATTTGGGTAATACAAGCTCAAATCGGGTTGAATCTGCTCATTCATCCTTCAAGAAGTGGCTTCAATCAGCAACAGGTGCAATCGACACGGTTAGTCTCTTAATAAATTTTCATTTATGTCTTCTTTAGAAGTTTTACTTAATCTAGTATCCTAATTTTCTTTCTTTGTTTGTAGGTTTATAAGAAGAACCATGATTACATTGAGGCTCAACATCTTCAAATCCAAAAGCTTCTAGAGGATTCTAGATTAAAGAAGATGTTACTAGCAGAAGGAAGACCATTTCGGGAGTTGCATACAAATGTCACTCTACAGGCTATGAAGTTGATGCTCATTGAGGTATCAGTGGAAGGAGCAAGCTGTACATGTACGTTTCCTGCTATCTTTGGTCTCCCATGTAGATGTGCAATGCAATTAGCACGTTCTGAAAAGCGGGACATTCCCCCATATGAGGTGTTAGCTTTTTGGACCATCATGAACTATCGTGAACCTCCTACTCGGGCAGAGTGGGATGACGATAGTCTTTACCATCGTGATGTCTTCCAAGGTCTAGTACAGGAGGTTCTTGATAGGGGAGATGAGACCATTCGAGGGGCTATTGGCCTACTTCGGAGTCATCTTCATCCTGAAAATGATGGCATTGATGAGCCGCATGGGGGACAGCCCCGACCCGGTCGCCCGAGGACATCCACCACGCGAAACCTATCTCATTTCGAGCATGTGGAGAGGAGACGGGGCAGGAGAAGTTCGATACCTTCGACCACAACACCGGACAATGACCAGAGGACAGGTAGGTTGTACTTTTTGGGAAATTTATATTCAATTGTGTAGAATATGATGTATAACTAACTTATTTTTGTAAATGATATTAGGTGGTATCCCTGATGCAGACACCAACTTCGAGTCCACAAATACGAATGGGACGGAGCCGGATACTCATAATGATACAGGTTAGAAGTAGTGTCCCTATTTTAGATTATTAGATGTTGTATACAGTTTGTATTAATTCATTGTGTTGTGTATTTTGGGACAGATGGTGCCCCTTGGAGGGTTATCAGGACTCCCAATACTGGTTGGCGGAGTTACCCGTGGTTGTATTGTTTGGAAACTTACGTGCAACCATACATTCGTGGTTGGTTCAACCCAGAACCGGATGGACATTGCGGATTTCGAGCAATATCACAAGCACTTACCGGGTCCCAAAACAATTGGTTGCAGATGAGACGCGACGTTGTAGAAGAGCTTCAAGCCCGACCTGAGCTTTACAGACCATACTACGATGGAATTGCCGACGGAATAGATAATGGGCTTCGGCGTTGCAGGTGGACTCAAAATCGTGGTTGTGGCGTTACCCACTGGATGGATAATGTGGAGCTTTTCGTCTTTGCCACATTGCATTCATGGGTAATTGCTGTCTATAGTCAAGGCGGTCGTTATACCGTGCTACCTGTGATTGCCCCACCATGAGTAACAAGACCACGTGGGATCGTATCACTACATTTTACGGGATGTCATTGGGTGCGTCTTGACTTTCGGCCTGGTCAAGTGCCATTGCCTCCGATTAATGGGCTTTGGCCTATTTATCATGATCCTAGTGTCCATGGTTGGGACCAATTTTTCTCACAAGAACGCCAATTTTATGATAGATTAAACCCAACCGGTTGATGGTTAGATGTAGTTGTGGTTATTGTATTTGATGCAACTCTTGATTTACTATTTTAGTAATGGAAAAGAAACAAACTCCAATCATCTGAAAATTCCAAAAGTTAGATCATCTCACGGGTAAAGTCAAACTAGCAATTCCAAATAAAAATAAACAAACTAGCAATTCCAAATAAAAATAAAGTACAAGGATAACAATCTAGAAATGCCACACTCCACTAAGGAGTCTTTCCGACTAACTGGTCATACAACTCGTGAACCTCACTCATCATATCGTAGTACTGAGATGCATGCTCCACATAGTGATCCTTGTCCCTCACCGCCAACACAGGACCAAGCTTCTCCACAATCTGCTTCCTCAACTGTAAATACAAAAATAATGTCATGAATGAAAAAAAAACATATTAACAATACATTAAAAATTGAACAATTATTACAAAACTAACCTCATCGACTAGCACTGGCCAAGTTATCAAAGTTGTATCTATATGCTGCATCATACACCCTGCCAAGTGGGACAATCCTGTGCCCTCAACCACCTTCTGAGAACCCTCTGAACTCCACTCATATCTCCTCAAAGACTCCACACTACCAGATCTATGACAACAATCCAACAACCCACGATCCTGCGCTGGGGAAGTCCACAATGCAAAGGCTATGTGACCTCCAAAGCTAGGGATCACATCGGGAATCACAGGTCCACCTGAACACATCTGAGACTCTGATGTCAGGCGCCACGACATGTCCCCCCTCACTCCCTTCTTCCTCTTCTTACCATCACCGTCTTCCTCACTACTACGTCTCGCAACGTAGCGTCCATCTAGCCCACGCTGTGGAAAGTGCGAAGAAGCTGTAGAAGATGTCCCAACTCGTCTCTTCTTACCGATGCCCACATCAGATTCAGGTGGGACATCCCCAGCCTCATCAACAGCCACATCATCACCATCGTCGTCGTCCATAGAAACCGAATCACTCCAATTAGCCTCCCACGGCGTCGCATCCTCGGGAGTAGGGGTGGAGGTAGTACCTCGACTAAGAGACAACTGTCCCATAGTAGGGCGACCGTCGGGACGCTCTATTTCCGCCTTCTTCTTCTTCCCCTTAACCTCACGTGAATTTTTTTCTTCATTTTCTTTTCTACCGGTCGCTGTAAGTCTACAAGCACGACCTTCCATTCTTCCTTCCGTTTTTCTTCCATTCTTTTCTTATTCATGTACGGTTTGCCTATTCCATGTCCAGACATCTAAAAAAAACAAAAGAATTACAATTAATGATAATCAAATGCATTAACATTTTATGATAATTTTCTCTAATTTTTTTGTAATTTTTTATAATTTATTAACATTAATTACAACTTTCTTAGTCTTTTTTCTAAATTTCGACTATTTTTTAATTTTCCCATTATTCTAATATTTTTAACATTAATTACGAATTTACAAATTATATTTCTAAATTTTGATACTTTTTAAAAATTTCAGATAATTTCAGATAATTTTTATTACATTATTCACAATATTTTTTCATAATTGAATTCATAAAACTATTCGAATTTAATTTTTATAATAAATTATAAACCGTACAACTTATTTATAATTAACTACCATTATTTCTAATTATTACTTAATTTACAATATTTAATAACAATTTTTATTAATTAATTGCATTAAAATTATTTAAAAAAATAACCAACCGAAAATTGATTTCGGTTTGACATGATCAAACCGAAAATTGACTTCGGTTTGACCATGGTCGAACCGAAGTCAACATTCGGTTTGACCATGGCTCAACCGAATGTTGACTTCGGTTTGACCATGGCTCAACCGAATATTGACTGAGGTTTGACCGAAGGCCAACCGAATGTTGACCTCGGTTTGACCGAGGGCCAACCGAACGGTGGCTTCGGTCTGTGAAGGGCGAGGCAGAAGACGACTTACCTTCTTCTCCGGCAGCAGGCGACTGGAATGGAGGACGGCGGACGACGAGGACAGACGGCGACGGCGAGTGGAGGCGCGGCGGACGACGAGGACTGACGGCGAGTGGAGCGCGGCGGACGACGAGACAGACGGCGACGGGACGGGGACTGTAAGGTCGGCCGGCGTTGGGCGGCGTGTCGCCGGCGTGGGCCGTGGGGCGGCGGCCCCTTTGCTGCTGGAAGGTCGCCGGCGGCGGCCTCTCTGCTGGGCTGGGGACGGAAGGTGGAGGAAGGGAGGAAGTGTTTGGGCGGCGGGAAGGTAGAGGAAGGGGAGTGTTTGGGTAGGGTTAGGTTTTTAATTTTAAAAAGGGTAGTTAAGTAATTTACGTATTAAGTTAGGACGATGATTAGTAATTTCTAGGACGACCTTTAACCCTTCAGGTCAAAAATCACTACCCCTTTAGGGGTTAGCATAGTATCCGACCCCTTTTACTAATCGTGGTGGTTGACGAACAGCTTACCCATGCCAGGACACAGACCAGAGTTTGGATTTTGGAAGCTGAATGGGCTCCAATTTTGAATGCTTGACCGGTCTGGTCTGATCATAGACCATTGGGAAGCCACCATTAAGACAGCAAACTTGAACATGAGTCAACGACGACCAAGTTTGCCTTGGAACCAAATGTATTTTTTACAAATCATATTTTTCCCAAGTCAAACAAACTATTTAATCGTTTCATTTTCTATCGATACAAAAATTACAAATAGTTTAATTTCGATCGAGAAGACTACTGTGATTATGCGTAATTATGTCTATGTTCTAAGAACTGTAAAATCACATTTCGATAACCCAACTTTCGAACCAATTACAAAATCTCACCAACCGACAAAGCTACACATAAATTTAATCATAGAACACCATGATTTTATTCGTAAATGATTTTTACAGGATGAACGGTCAGAGACCACCACCATGTGAAGGAATATAAAAATTTACACAACCCATAGTGGAGATCTCCTTATCAAATGATGATCAAATAATAAAAAAGTCAAACAATATTTTTTTTAAATTCCAAATTCCTTGACGATTGGATGAATTTGGTCACACTTCGAATTCAGAAGACGCCGTCGTTTTGGGCCTGCAACAGCCAACAATTCTTGAGCTGGGACTTGGCACTCTCCCTGAAGCTCTTGACCCGCATCAAGCAGAAGTGGGTGCAGCACAGGCCCACACCCGACGACCCGACCCGGCTCGTCTTCAGCAGGTAGCACACCGGCCCACACTCCGCCCCTTTCCCCTGAACCACGATCCCCCACGCCTTCGTTGCCTCCTCCTCCGCGACGTCGTTTTCCTCCTCTTCCGCTTCCGCTGCCGCTAGCACGGCGGATCTCCCGCCGTCTAGTAACTGCTCGACGAAAATCACCCCTTCCGGCAGTGGCGAATCCCGCTTCTTCCACTTCTCGATCAGCTTCTTCCAATCCCCCTCCTCCACCGCCTTCTCCGTCTCCAGCTTCTTCCCCCTTTCGTCGGAGTACACGTGGACCAGCAGCGGCGCTGCCGTTAAATTCTTCACGATTTCCGTCACCGAGTCCCTCATCCACTCGTCCAGCTTCTCCGCAACGATCCCTCTCTCTCCACCGCCTCCTCCTCCAGCCGCCGCCGTCAACAGAGCGAAACTACTCTCCTCAGCCGCCGTCGATGTACCGCCCCTCGGGAACCCCGCCTCTTCCGACGAAATTTCTACCTCCATGGCAGCTTCCGCCGCAAACGCCGTCGCCGAACACACCCTCGGCGTAAAAAATCGCCCCTCGCCGGATGCAATCGGCGTCGCCGTCGGGGTCGATGTGGACACCCCCAGCCGCCGCAACCTCCGATCGGAAACATCCGAGCTACATCGCACCATCGGGATTGGACGAATCCCGGCCAGAAGATGGCGGGCGTGGTGGTGATTTTTCAATTCAGTTGCGGCTCCGCCGCAGCCAACGCCCGTAGACGTAGAAGAAGAAGCCATGGTTTCCGGCGATTCCCGCTTTCCCGATCGGATTAGAAGGGGTGAGACGGCGGCGGTTTCCTCCCCGATCCCCAATCACACTCCGAATTTCGGTTCTGGAACAGAGCCGATTGAGAAATCGTTTATCTTCTTTGATTGTGTTAGTTGCTTTTCCCCTCCTCTGTTCCGATAGATGGAGGAAGGAAGAAGGGAGCGAAAACCGCTCTTATTTTATAAAAATAAAATCCTACGAGGCAGAAACGATGTACACGTCAGAGTTAGCGGTAATCTAATCCTGTAAGCTAGCGACCATACCGGGCTATGGTGGACACATGCAATGGTCGTTATTCACGCGGCCACGAGGTGGTTTCTTGTCGACTCAATGGATCGAAGGGTGGGATTGGGGAGAGTGCAGGGAGGATTGGTGGGGGCGGTTGTAGGGGATAATTTTGGGAGGGGGTTGGATTATACGGTGGAAGCTGATGTGGCGTAGGGAGTTAGGAGGGAGCGATCGGGTACTGCTACGGAGTACGTAGATTCGGGGAAAGGGTTGAATTCTGACCGTCGGATGTGGGAAGCGGTGGATGGGAGGAGCATCTAACGTGGAGTGTGCGGGGAGGTTTCCGAAAGGCGTGTGTTTGCACGCTGTGGTTGCATGGTAGAGCAATGCTGACACGCGCTTGGCGCGAACGGAGGTTCAGCTGGCACGAGGTGACTGCCACGTTGGCATCTGCTTGCGTGGCGTGGGAACCTTCACCGGAAAAAAGGAGGAATTATTGGGTACTCCGGGAGTACCATGTCAGCATGCTGATTTGGTACTCCCGGCCATTAAAAATTCGCCAAGTGTCATGTTTGATTCATTAAGTGGTTATTTATTGCTGAATTTTTTATAGTTTTTTAATTAGTTTATTAAAAGAAAAAATATTTTATCGGGACCCAACTCCAAGCTTGGCCGCGGAAATGCCAATCGCCGACCTCGTCGCCTCTGGTTCCTCCATCGGCGCCGCCTCGCTATCCGACTGGAGCGCCGGTCGGGCGATCTTCTCCGCATCTGACCCAGGAGATACTTCGGCCGGGACTGCGGCTACGGAAAAGGCCATGGTCGGATTTAGCGAGTCGCAGTTTCGAGCGCGACTAGATTTACGGCGCATACTTCGCACTCTGCTGATGCATATAGATCTGGGACTTCCATTATCGTTGCCGTAAGCCCGTAACGAACTTCTGCCCTCTTAATTGCGGATTACCTTCTGCCGGTCGGGGACTCTGCAAGGAGTCCGGATTGTAATTGGGGGAATATTACTCGCCGGCTGCTACACCGGAGAAAACTCAGGATAATAAAAGGGGCTTTGAATTTTATTATTATTATATTAATGAAAGATAATAACAGAAAAGGAAATTAAAACCTATCAAAGGTTCCAGCGAAGAATAAACTAATTAATGAAGCAAATATGACACTTGGCAGATTTTTATTGATCGGGAGTACCAAATCAGCATGCTGATGTGGTACTCCCGGAGTACCCAATAATTCCTCGGAAAAAAGAAGCCTTTTTTTGTTCCCATTCCCTTATTTTTTCATTTTTCATGATGGCTAAAATAAAAACATCAAATTTCAATGCGCATCATGCAGACAAATTTTGGGCTGTTTTTTTCACAAAATTCTACAAATTAATTGATGTTGTTCTGCTCATAATTAGGTTTCAAAATGATTTCATTGAGCTTTTATCTCTTACATGACAATATTATCACACCTAATAAATAAATGTGTAGATGAAGAAGAAAATACGACGAATAGCAAGTAAGTCGATAGAAATTCAATCACAAATTAATTCACTTAGGGGTCGTTTGCTTGTTGGATTTAAAAAATGAGGGTTTTGGCCAACAAAAATCTTGGGATTTATGTTGGATTTATTGGATTATGGATTTGAAGAGTCTAATGTTTGCATGATAGATTTGATGATGGATTTGTGATGGATTTGTTAAATAAATAACTAACCATCAAGGATATGCAAATTCCAAATAAATATGTGGGATTTACAAGTCCGTGGGGTCCACGGATTTGATTCCAAAATAAAGACTAAATCCGTGGACCCCACGGATTTAACATCCTTCAACAAACAATGGACTTATGTTAAATCCATCAAGCTTGGAATTTGGGTACCAAATCCATGATCCAAATCCAACAAGCAAACGACCCAAACATTCTTGTTATATTACAACTTTACAAGTTAATGACCCAATATAGAGGTCCTTATGTTGAATTTCCACGAACCAATGCACCCACCTAACATTTTCTTTACCTAATGACGAATCATAGTTTTTTTTTTTTTACCAGCCACGAGAGGCAAAGAATTAGAAAAGGGAAACGGACGAAATAAGTTTGCTTGGTGGATTTGATGATGGATTTGGTGAAGGATTTGGATCTATCATGGACTTTGTCCAAAATCCATTGTTTGCTTCATGCATTTAGGGGAAACAAATCTGTGGGTCCCACGAACTTTAAGGGACCAAATCCGTGGACCCCACGGACTTGAAAGTTCCACCTATTTAGGTGGGAATTGATCATGAACTTTGAAGTCCATCATTTTTTACCAACATACCCTTCATATTTGCTTTCTCTTCTTATATCATTAAGGGCAATAAAGGTAAATTACACTTCATACATACAAATTTAATAAACAAAATCCATCATGAAATCCATCAAACAAACAATGGTGTTTATCAAATCTATAATGAACCTAAAACCCTCATTTATCCATGGTTTGTGAAAACCCAAGTTATACCAAAACCTTCATTTTTCAAATCCACGACGCAAACGAGCCCTTAAGAGGTCTCACGAGTGAAACGTGTGCAGAGGATTGGCCGGTGAACGGCGCAAACCACCAATGATTTGGAAATTAGTAGATTACTGAACGAGTGACGGCCACATGGTGGTGGATATGATTTATGTTAGATTCTTGCACGCTAGCTCGACGGTTTTCCATAATTTGGGGTAAGTAACGTGTACTAATGACATCAACAATTCCCGGCGGGCCAATCCGGAGTAGCTAGCTCCCGTCGGCCGTACTCGTGCCAATTATCAACCATCAATTTTATCGGTAGCGAAGTCAAAAATCTAAATGAGGAGGGGCTGCCTTTGAACCTTAATAATTAGTGTTATGAGACAATTCAAGTACCACGTCGGTAATACAATGAAAGGAACCCTTGTATATTAGTGTCCATCTAGCCCAATTAGTACGAGGCCTTTTGGGGAGGATACCCAAAGGTAAAAATGTGCGGGCTTGGCCCAAAGCGGACAATATCGTACTAATTGAGCTTCCCAGTTATGACGAGTGGTATCAGAGCCTGGTTTGGTTCAGGACGGTGGACGTCAGTTTGGTGGACCCTCATTCGGTGACCTCGGAGATTTGAGATCTGCGTTTGTCTGGCGGGGGTCAAAGGTGATTCGCGTATGTTTGGTCGATCCAGGAGAGATCCACGTTTGGGGGTAAAGTCCTTGTACCGAGAAGCTCATCCATACAAGGCGTCTGGTGGATCAAGATAATCGTTGAGAAGAGGACACGAAGTTCGTGGTCCTTGTCTTGAGGGGAGGATTGTTATGGAACAATCCAAGTACCACATCGGAAATACAAGGAAATGAATCATTCTATATTAGTGTCCACCTAGCCGAATTAGTATGAGGTCTTTTGGGGAGAAAACCCAAGAGTAAAACCATGTGGGCTTGACCCAAAGCGGACAATATTGTACTAATGAGCTGCCCAATTATGACAATTAGGAAGGGAGCTAAGGCCTTAAAACCTGATATATTTTCTAAGTTTATACGAATTTTACATTTGAGTTTACCTGTTTCAAATCCATAATATAACCTAACTCGGCCACTTAAATCTGTTTGTTTATTTTTTCCAAAGCGTGTGACGTGCTAGCTCGCTCTCCGCCCCCTCCCCGCGAAATTCCCCAACTACCTGCCCGCGAGACCGGATGCTGTGACTAATGGGGGGTGTTTAGTCACTTGACTAAGCCTCTCCTAGCCCTTAGATCTTGATACACCAATCTGACGGTTAAAAAGTGGGAATGACTTTTTAATTAATGGCAGGAGTAGTTTGGGTATTATGGAAAATTACGAAGTATACAAACCGAACTTACAAACAGTACAAACCATACAAACATACGAACAATACAAACTAGAGCGACAAAACGTTGATAGACCGATAATTACACATGTTTTCACCCGTATTCTTGAGCCGTTTGAGATGTTGATTCTCGTGTTTTAAGCCGATTTCACGCTAGGTTGTGCGTTTATGTCATGTTTCAGGGCCCAGCGTTGGAATCGAGGCGAAGGAACGAGATTTGGTTCGAAAGGAGCAAGTGAGGCTTGAAGTGTGCTGGAGGAAGAAAATACTCGGCCATGACCAAAAATACCCGGCTGGGTATTATTTTGAGGAGACCGGGTATTTGCTGTTTTGGGCGTCTGAGAAACAGAGAGGGGCCCGGGCGTGAAGCTTAAATCCCCGGTCGGGGATTATTGGACATGACCGGGGATTTTTCCCTAAAGCGAAATGACGCGTTTTAATAATACCCGGTCGAGACCCAAAATACCCGACCGGGTATCTCGACCGGGTATCGCGACAGGCAGCAGTTTTAAGGGAAAAGAAGGCTCAAAATCAAGGGTTCCGAGTTTTAGAGAGACAGAGCGATTCCTAGAGAGAGAAAGCGACGAACTAGAGTTCCCAAGTGCCATAGCTTGATCTTCATCACCATTGGAGCCCAGCTTGAGCTTGGAGAAGTGCCGATTGACAACCAGGAGCATAAACTCATCCTTCACAGTATGATTTCCGCGTCTGAATCTGCTTTTGCTTCTCTCTCCATGGAGTAGTTTCCCCATACATCTGGGTATGGGGAACCCTAGATTTGTATGTTAGGTCTGATTGTATGAACCCAAGTACAGAGTTTATGAATTGATTATATTCGATTAAGGTTTGAATGATTGAATGACTTGAATCCTGATCAAATTCCTGTTGTTTCTG